TTGGCATAAACTCCCATGATTTGAGGTCTAGTTAAACTTCCCTATTCCAGATTTCCAAAAAGGAACCTGGGACCGTCATATTGGCAAGTACTTAAGCCTCCACACAACTGTAAACATGCCACTCGCAAGGCTCGAAGGGTTGAGGTGTAGGCAACCTACACATACTGAAGAATCCTGCATACATGGATTGCCGTTCAGGTGATTTTTTACAATGTGTTCTATGATTTTTCTCCGGAAGCATTGCAAAAACCGATGTTTTTAATATGTTCTATGATCTTTCAAGCTACTCCAGCCCAGGCCTGGCATTCTTTGGAAATCATGGAAGCAAATTCGGTTTCCCCTCCTCTCGGATCAATTGGACCAGTTAGACTTTTTCAAACAATCGAAAGAAGCAACCAGACGCCCATCTTGCTTCATTTCAAGAATATACATCCATTTTTGAATCAAGGTCCTGTTCATTATTTGCACGCAGAAACCTAACCCTAACCCAGGATTTTCCCTCTAATTAGGCTAACCGAACTACTTCAAATCACAATGTATTTGGCCTGGTCTTTGATTTTTGCTATTCGATCTAGTTGGTTCCACTCTGGTCTGCTTCAAAAAGCTATAACTTGGTAGCATTGAGGGCCGGTTCCATTGCTTTGACGAGAAGACCCGGATGCTCCTCGTAATTCAGTGAATCAGATTTCTGTGCTTTATGTGAACAAGCAAGCAACCGAATTAGCCCATAGTCTCTTATTTAATAGCTCTTCAAATTTCTTCCCGGTGATTTATAACTTGACGACACTACTTTGATTTTCCATACACAAGCTGATCGACAGAATTGATCCGTCATGGTCGCCATTTAACAACTCCACCAGCCTTCTTCAAACTCGTGTATTTCGTTAGAATAAGAGGCCAGCTCTATTGCTTGATTATTTGGACGGTCTCAAATGTTGAAACCGAATGATGTTTTCTTTTGGTTTCAGCTCAATCACATCCTGTAACGAATATTCCAACAATTTGAACACTTCCAATTGTAGGGCTGACATCTAGGACTGCGAGTTTCACTTCCCTCAAATCAGCCAGGTTTCTCTTTTGCCTTTCTGGCACAAGGAGAATTGAATTATGTGTAATTCTTCTCAGTATTCTCTTCCACATAGAGAACTAAGGTTTGTTGTTGTGAGTAGAACTGGCAAAAGGAAACTTCCATAAGGGAGTTGACATCGACTACTTGCAGAGATTCTCCCGCAGCAGGACTGTCGGCACAATAACGATTCCATTCATCGGTTGTTTTTCTTTCAATGGACTGAACCATAAAACTGACTCCAGATTTCAATTTTTCAACTGTCTAGATCTCCTTGCCAACTTGTAGCAGCTACAAGGTATTGAAACAAAGGGCCAGTCTTTCTTGCTGAGAAGCAAGGTCTTGAAATGTTGTGCCTCTAGACAGATAGTTCAAGTGTTCCAAAACACGGATTTTGCTCTTGTTTGCTATTGCTTGAATTACAAACCTTTGCCCATGTCAGAATTGTTGCAGTTTCATTGGCATGAAAGGGCCAGCTTAATGTTTTGAAGCAAGGTCATGAGATTTTGTGCTTCTGGCGCCCAAAAATCGTAGATCTATGGGGGGGGAGTAGCGAATGGATATAGCATCATCTGTAATCCTTATGCAACTGTGGTATACTGTGCTCCAAAACCCAATCTTCGGTATTTAGGTTTCTATTTGATTTGACATATGCCATGTGCCATCGAGTCCATCGAGCCACGATGCAGCCCAAGTCAAAGGGCTTAGGATTTTGCGGTTCAAGGTTTTGGGTCCAGGATTTTGAGCGTTAGGGCTTTGGGTTGGGGGGTTGGGGTGCAGGATTTGGGGTGTAAGGGTCGGGGTCCAAAGTCGGTTCCAGCCTAAGTGTCCTGCTTAAATCATTCCCAGCTAGCGTGATGTCTCACAATTTCCAGCCAAGCCTCCACGACTGAACGCTGGCGGTCACGGCAAAGCTCCTTTTGCAATGATAGCATCAGCTAAGCCAATAAGAACGAATCTAATTCACCGAATAATGTGGACAGTTCTTTCTTGCTGATACTGACACAGGCAACAACCCTTCCAGCGTTCAGAGTGTGTGGATTCTGGCTTTGATCTACGCAGTTTTGTAACGTCCTTCAGGATTTCTTGCGCTTCAGGGTATGCTTGCACTAGTTGCTGAGGCTGCAAGTTGAAATTGAGCGGCCTGGGGCTGAGCACGTGTAACCTTACCGAATTCTATGCTCACTATACTCACTCCCTTCGAGGCTTGCAGGGACTTGCAGGCTCAGAATGACAGACGGCAGCCTTTGCTGCACGTCTCTCGCACACTCCTCGTCGCCGTCACGCGTAGCCACCAAAGCAAGCTCCTGGGCTTTCGGTGCTCTGTAGTGACAAAGGGCAAGCCCACTCGTGGGCCTTGCGTGTTTGTGCTTGCAAAAATTGGGTGGTCAAAGGCCTGGGTTGAAAGATTTCAAGGCAAGCAGTCGATGTGGCACAGGAG